TCCGAGAGATTCAACACGAGAAAATAGAGAGTGTGCCAACTTAGGGCTTATTCGTTTCAAAGGAATTATACAATCCTTTGAAATGGGCACTACATTGTCATTCGTTTCAAAGGAAAAATTCATATCCCTCCACTTTTATTAGGAGGAAAACAACGGAAAAAAGATAATCCACTCCAACTCAATGTTTTCAATCCTTTAGATTATTTAATTTGCTACATAGCTATGGGAAAGTTTTCTATGTTGTTCAATCCTTAAATTTGCACATGTATTCCTATAATGTTTTTATGTTCTTTCTATTCCTATATTTTGAAAATCCTACATACTAAATGAGCCCTCAGTGTCAGAAAATCCATTGGCTTGCAGAGGATTCCTATAACACAGCTGGAGATTTTGATACAGTAACTATGACCATGCCGGTCGTTATGCATCTTCTAAACGAAAGAACAGATCTAGTGAGTAAATTATCAAACAGCTAGCTTGTCCATTAATTCGTGTAAAAGCTAGAGCTATAGCTATTTATTTGCTCGCGCCTGTACCACTGGAACTTTCTTCTTGGCCGTTTTCACGCTTTCGTGCTGTCGCTTCATTAATGTGTATATAGAAAAGAAAATGGACAAGGACAACTGGACAAGCCGCTGGTGTTGTGAGAAAATTCACAAAGTAGACTTAACTCGGCTGGTTAGATTGAACCGGCATATTTTCTGAAACCAGACTATTCAAGTTTAAGTTCTAGATTTCGCAGGGATGCCCGTATTTACGGCTAGATAACATATCCGTGATAGTAAAACATATATAATGACTTCGTTAATCTTAAAATATGTCGGTTCAATCTCTCGAATGTGGGCAGAGTGTGCGCGCATACGGTTATAGGGATAAGTGTATGCTCATTGTGAACGTCTACATTTGTGCTATAATTCTTAAGAAAATGTCCGTCTACTGAAATATACCGGTCGTACAAGCTCAAGAGAACGATTTTTTTTCCACATAAACGTCATACGAATATTATGTTTCTCTAATGGAAGTTTTTTTTCCAGTTCCATTATAGATTGAAAAAAAATATTCTATCATGAAACAACTACTAAAGTATCATATACAAGCCATCCATACAGTGAAAATATAGAAACAACTCCATGCACTATATGGTAAATATAAACATACGGTCTTCTTGAAGTACCAAGTGAACCTTAGTTATATATTGGTTTATTAATAATTTAAAAAACAGTATAATTTTTCCCTAATTTTATACTATCATTGCGGATTAAATAAACATATGCATTAAAATGGTAATCAATTTTTGGGACCTTTTTGGGCTTTCAGCCAAAAACTCAGGCTCAAGATTCCTATCAATCAGGCTGGGCCAGGTTACCTGGCCGGGCTGCCAAGGGCCGGCACATCTCTAGGACGAGTAGTTGTGAATAATTAGGGCTGTGTCCCTGATCTTTTGCTAGTCCTGCACTCCGCGCGTTCCCATGTTGAGCGAGGCTGCGAGAGCGAGGTTCGAACGAAGGAAGAGCCGCAGCCGCGCGAGAAGCGCTGAACCTCATGCCACATGTGTTAGCCGTGTTTCCGTTTGGCTGCCGAATATTTGAAAGCATTATTGAACATGTTCATATGTTTCACATACCAGGTCGCCCCGCCGACCGCCCTGCATGCGGCACAGTGGACGCGCGACTCATGCCCGCCGGCCGCCCTGACCAAGTACGAGACAGGCGGAGTTAACTGTGTTGGCTGTTGAGATCGACGCATGGCCCGCACGGCGAACCCACACCGTCCCAACTTATGGGTGTCTATCACTAGTTCACAACGTCGTCGCGTCCTGCTCTGCTGCCGACGCGTCGAATCAATTGCCCAAAAGTCAAATGCACAGACGTTGTCAAAATTAAGGTCTACTATAAACTTCAAACTTCTCATTTTTCATTTTGCACAGACGTAGTAGTTTTTTTTTTCCGCAACTTCAAACTTTAAATTTCTCATTTTTCATCCACGCACTTTTTAAACTGCTAAATGATGTGTTTTTTTTCAAAATATTTCTAAACAAATAACTTTTTAAAAATTCATAAAAGGCCATGGATTTATAATTATAGTACTTACTTAATCAGATACTAATGAGCTTTCTCGTTTTGTGTGTACTGGAAAGCTCTCTCCAACTTAAGGGTAAGAATTCAGCCTAAGGGTTAAATTAAGGGGAGTACTAACCCAATGGCATAGGATAGGGAGCAAATACTAATAAGGGCTCGTTCGGATTATAGGATTTGAAAAACATAGGATAGAAAAAGTATAAGAATAGAAAAGGAATCTAAGCGTTAAACAGAAGAATGAAAAACAAAGTAATACAAAAGTTAAGGGCATTCGGATCACAGGGGTTAATTGCGTAGGATTTGCATGCATGAAGAAAAAAAAAAGAGCTTCAGGTGGATGGATTTTTACTTTTCCATTTCCTACAATTAGTTTTCATGATTCAAAAGACAGGAAAGAAAAAAAAATTCCTATGCACAGCATTCCTCCAAAAAGCTGTGAAGATTCTCTAATCCGAATAAGCCCTAACCATTTTTCCCCATCACCACATCATCTTAACTCTCTTATCAATTTTACTATCCCGACCCTACGTTGTCCGCATCGTTAAGTAATCCGAATGCTCGAAGAATTGTTTTAAATTCTTGAGTGGATATCTCTCGTTTATTTTAAAAATGAAAAGTTCTGAAAGAAACTAACAACATTTATACAGTATATAAAAAAAGGATAAATTTAGATATCAATTTATTATCTAAATCAACAGTTCGTGATAATATTGATACTAACTTTATCTTTTTTTTTATTTCTTAATGTGTAGGTTAGGTTAAATTTGAAATTGATTTTTGGTAGAGTGCTACATATCACTGTACTCAACGTTGTTAATTTTTATAAAAAAAATGTATAACTATTTACATTGAATTTAGAGAAAAAGTAAATAAGGGACATTCCTTGAACATAAGGGTATAAGCGGTTATTTTGATCTCTAAATATGTTCGACGCTTACATCATCTCGAGGGGCCAATCAACAAATGGAATTCGTGTTTCTTGAGTCATATGCAAATCGGACATTGGAAACGGATAACTTTATGAAGTTTAGAGAGTAACATATATAGAAGATTAGAAGAGCACGGATGTGTTGATGTGTCATATGTATAGACCTACTAATTAAACCCAAACACAATCCATCAATCAATTTTCAGCAGAATGATTTATTTGAGAAAAAAATCAGGTGACGTTGCTGCACCGAACAACACGAAATTCGGTTTGCTCTGGGGCTGCTAGCATGATTACTGTAGCTCCCCTTTTGATCCATGTCGCGTCGATCGAACAGTAGCGAATCCTCACACAAATGTTTCTAGGAAACCCTCATTGTCCAACTCGAAAGCAAGAACACACCATAAACGCTCTCCCAACTTGGCAGGAAAGAGCCCACAGTCGCTGTCCACGTAAGCTCCATACGAAGAGATCCTCTCCAGTTTTCACCACCCGTTCCGTCCCGCATGGCCAAGCTCTCACAATTAATAAATCGCCCTTGCTTGCCCCTGCTGTCGCTTTTCCAGCGATAACTTTGTGCTAGATTAGCAGCTGCAGAAACAATCGATCTGGCACCTGCCCCGCCCCGGCCCCGGCCCCCGTGTCAACCTTAACATTAACGCCGATCAATTAGCTCATTCCTTCATCTCACAGTATAAGTAATTTCTAAATTGGTATGGATATTACTCCCTCTATCACAGTTTAATCATCTTATAAGGTTTTTAAGGTCATGATCAACCTCTAACAAGTCATTATTGTTTATTTGTGCCAAAAGTAAATGAGCATCATTGAATACACTGTATAAAACCAATCAAGATTAATAACTATTCTCTTCGGACTGATAATATTTATCGTTTTAGACAAGTATGAGGTGAAACTTTAGAATCTTTGATTATAAATAAAATATTTGTCCTTCAAATATGGTGACTACATACATTGATTAGTCTTAAAAAGTATTTTAATAAAATCATATATTTGTTAACACTTTTATACATATTATAATAGAAAATAATGGTCAAATTTATTTTTTTGACATCGTACCTTTCCAAAACGACGAGTATTATTAATTCGGAGGGAGTATTAGAGCAAGTTTAATAGTATAGCCAACTACTGGCTCCAAATCATTTATAGTCAATTTAATAGCCAATTCATACAATAGTTACCTATAAACATATACTGCACCAGTAATATCTGGTCTCACTTGTCATACACACTTTTGCGTCTTGTAGTCTGTGCTGCAGCTGTCTACAAATCTGTAGCCCGTTGCTCTTAGGCCAGTCCCAACCAAAGATACTAGACACAGTTTCCATAAACTCCACATCATGAAAAAACTAGTATAGAAACTACTCTTTCAATGTAAACACCACTATTCCATACTTAAATTTAATTGTACTTATCTCACATGATACCTTCGATGTTGTGTAGAAACTATCTCTCATGCAAAACCTGGTTTTCTTCTCTTTCCTCATTTATTCACCTGTCACACCATCTTTCATCATAGGTGGCAGCTTATTTAATGCTATGGACACCATCCTTGTCATTGGGTTAGGACTGGCCTTATCACTGCTCACTTATCTTTTACTCGATATGTGTTTACATCTGGCTTATAGTATGCTATTTAACCTACTCTTAGTCCAACTACAAGCAATATTTAAAACTTGATGCAATCCATGAAACACGAAGTGATGTAGCATCTTAACCGTTGAGAATTAATTATAGAATGATAAATGTTTTAGGACCTGTTTAGTTCCTCCAAATGGCAAAAGTTTTACTGTTTTGGTGCACTTTTTGCCAAAATGGATCTAAACACTAGTAGGAAAAGTTGGCAATTTGGTATTTATCATTTGGGACTCTAGAGGAGCAAATTTTGGCAAAAAATCGTTGGGAGCAGTGCGGGACGCGCACTACCCCTGCTGCCCACGTGCTCTCTCTCTCCCCCAAAATTTCCCCATCTCCACTCCTCTCGCGACCACCAACCAGCGGCTTCCCGACGGTGGCGGCGCACGTGGGCGAGGCTGAGGGCTAGGGCGCGAGGCAATGCAGATGGCGGTGGCGGCGAGCACCGAGGCCCTGGCGGTTGCGGCCGCGGCGACGGCGAGGGCGCCTCAGCACCACCACATCCCATCGCAGCCGAGGTGGGTGGTCATCCTGTACTCGCCGCTGCACGGTATGGTGGCCGCCGCGCCGCCACCTCCCCCACCGCAGTTCGTCAAGCACTTCGCGCCGCCGGCACCGGTCACCCCGCCGCCGCATCCACAACCGCAGCAGCAGCAGGCGACGGGCGGCCGGGGGTGGATCCGGCGGCGGGAACAGGGACGAGAACCGAACGAGGGCTACGACGATTTGGGCGCCGACGATGAGGAGCAGCAGCAGGCAGCGGCGGCCGGGGGTGGCCCCAGCGGCGAGGTCCGGTCTCTTCTCCCCAGCTTGCTCCCCCGATCCAACGGCGAGATCCGGCGAGGTAGCAGCATTTAATATGGGCAAATCAGTCTTTAGTAAAATGGCCAAACTTTACCATGCATCTAAATACCAACTAGCAAAACTTCAATGCCAAATCTTTTGCCACCAAAACATTTGCCAAAAAATTTGCCATAGCAAATTGATCTAAACATGCCCTTATTATTCTTGGTCACCACGCTTTTTTACTTAGATAATGATTAAAATGGGATGGAAGGAGTAATAAAGCATGTGGGAATGATTGCATAAAGATTGTGATTGATTGAAAAAAGAAAATATGTGAAAGAGAATGGTTGTAATTGGTTGAAAGGGAAAGATAGATGAAAAATAGCTTCATTTTATAACAAATTGTTTTGCTAAAAATAACTATATTTTAGATGAAGTTAGTAGTAGAAACGAAACAACCATTCCGTTCAGTGTGCGCGCATATTTTCTCATCAAGATTCAGATTTTACCTCAAACTTCCATTAGCATGTTTTTTAAATTATTAAATAGTAATATATATATATATATATATATAGGGATGGGTGGGGGCAAACGTGTCTGTACACCAAGTTGTGGCATAGTAGCACATGTAGCCACCATCCATCTCTTTAGCTTTGGACCAACTAAAGATGCCGCAATTATGCAGCCGGTAGTCCAGTCCCGTCCCCACTCCACACCCTACCACCGTGTTGCACGATCCGTCCATCAATGCGTATCGATGCGATCGTTCGTGCACGCACGCACGCATGTTGTCCTCGTGCCAAATGCCATGGCCGGTGCGCCCAGAGACGAGAGAAAAAACAACGACCTCAAGACATGCAGTTCGTCCCAGTCCCACCTAACCAAAGGGCCGAACCCTGGTTAAATAATGGCCAGCCAGCGCAGTGCTGCGCCACCGCACCGCACCACCACCGCTGCGGCATCACCAATCGGCAATCGCAGAGCAAAAGCATCGGGAGGAGCAAGCTACTAGTAGTAGTATAGTAGTACTAGTCAAAGAAATCAACAGCTTGATTGACCATGGCCGCCGCCGCCCCCTCGCGAGTCTCCGTCAGGGCCGCGGCGCCCGGGCAAACGGGGGGCTTCGCCAAGATCCGGCCGCAGGTGGTGGTGGCAGCGGCGGCGAGGTCGGCCGGGGTGAGCGGCCGCAGGGCGAGGAGCGTTCGGGCGTCGCTGTTCTCGCCGAAGCCGGCGACGCCCAAGGACGCGAGGCCGGCCAAGGTGCAGGAGATGTTCGTGTACGAGATCAACGAGCGCGACCGCGAGAGCCCCGCCTACCTCCGCCTCAGCGCCAAGCAGACGGAGAACGCCCTCGGCGATCTCGTCCCCTTCACCAACAAGGTTCGCTACCTAGTAGTCCCCTAGCTTCTTCTTCATCCTCCGCTCGGTCGCGGCTGTGCTGAGAGCCGTTCCCCTGCTTGGCCTCTGGTTCTTGCAGCTGTACAGCGGAAGCCTGGACAAGCGGCTGGGGATCTCGGCGGGGATCTGCATCCTGATCCAGCACGTGCCGGAGCGCAACGGCGACCGCTACGAGGCCATCTACAGCTTCTACTTCGGCGACTACGGCCACATCTCCGTGCAGGGCCCGTACCTGACCTACGAGGAGTCCTACCTCGCCGTCACCGGCGGCTCCGGCGTCTTCGAAGGCGCCTACGGCCAGGTCAAGCTCAACCAGATCGTCTTCCCCTTCAAGATCTTCTACACCTTCTACCTCAAGGGCATCCCCGACCTGCCGCGGGAGCTGCTCTGCACGCCCGTCCCGCCGTCCCCGACCGTCGAGCCAACGCCAGCCGCCAAGGCCACCGAGCCCCACGCCTGCCTCAACAACTTCACCAACTAGCTCAACCCGCGCTGTACATCACTTCCAAGTTCCAATTGCTACTGTTACTACTCTGCCAATAATTGATGGAGATGCAGATCGAGCTGCCTGATTAGTTTAGTGTTAATTGCGGCATGTGCGGTGTGTATCGTATCACTGATAAGGAAGAGGAATCGAGGACAAGATATTTGTTTCCTCCCTGCGATGAGCCGATGAACTGATCCGAACAAGAAGAGGCTTCTTGGTAGTAGGTGGATTGGAATATCGAAATGATATGATTGTGATCCGCAACTACAACGACCGCCACTACGGAGAGCTCATGCTATTTGTTTGTTTGTTTTTGTACTAGTGCTCAAATATATACTCCAGCTCATGTCCATGTGTATGTTTTGCTGCTATTATTTTTTTCTCCTGAAAATAAAATATATAACAACGCGCATTGGCATGATGTGAATTGGAAACCACCTTAGGACCGACGGTCACGCAGATGCTCAATGTTAGACGTCGTTCAGGCACTTGACATGTGGGACCTATCTTAGGACATGCTCAATGTTATTGTAGAAACATAAATGTCATTTGGATTTTTGATTAGGAGCCGACTAGTTCAGGGTAGTAAAGTCAAAGAGTTCTCTGGTTTACAATTTTGTACCCGAAAAATGCAAAATGCTATACACACTAGCAAACATTCGACTCCCACATGATTGGGGTGGCAATTTCCCTGTTAGAGATCGATCCCCTCTGGGGACCCGCCTCAACAAGGATGGGGGCGCGTTGAAATTCTCACCCGTGGGGCTACGGGAACGGTCCCGATATTATGCGAGGCTAGGGTCGGGGTGAGAATCTCCTTTGTCGGTGACCTGTGGGGCTGAAATATGATATATGGCCCATTAGATTTAAGCCCATATATCCCACTGGACGGAAGTATCTATGGAATAGCAAACCCTATCCAATCTCGTAAAGCAGTCGCCACCCATCTCATTTGTTTTCCCGTATGCTTAGCGACGCGACCCCTAAATTGCGCAACACAATGCACAATGCATCCTCTCCCCATAGCTCCATCATGACTAGCGAGTTTGCGGCTTGCGCCCGCACCATGCCGTGACGTTGGTCGACGCTCTCTGACACACATTACTTTTTTCTCATCCATCCCTCCGTCCGGACGAAGCACCACTCTGTCTGCACCATCGCTCTCGGCCATAGGAGACCGCGATGTCTCCCCCATCCCACCGGCCACAGGTGCTTCGTGGCATCCCCTTCCTCTCCGGCTGCCTCCCACATTATCTTTTCTCTTCCTTCGGTTGCAGGTTGCTAAGTTCACATGTTTTTCTCTCCCTATGGCCACCAGCACCAGGTGCGCGGGGCCCTAGAGGGGCCGGGGGTGGGGATCGAATTCACCCCAATCCTTGCTCCGAGGTGGGGCCGGGTGAACCCACGATCTAGTGGGGACAGAGCCGTTTCTGTCCAACTCACCCCCGCCCCGCCTCGCAAACCTACACACAACGATGATGTACAGGGGCGGACACAAGATAAAAATTGAACCTGGGGTACATAGCGCAAGCATATTGTGTTTGTACCTATATTGAGTGACATGGTGACAAGTGAGGAAGGGATTACATTGAATCACAACTTGATAACTATTGAGAAGGGCTTTAGGGTTTAAGCACACAAAGTAATAACTAGCCGACTAGGGAGTGGCAGGAAAGATCCGCCATGACATGCGACATGACCTGGTGGACAAGGAGATACACTGCTCTTCTCGGTCGGAGAGTAGTGGAAGGAAGTACCCTAGGTCGCCAGCTCCATGAGTGGCGACTCATCCAGCGTCTAGGCAACCACTTTTTGGACGTGCTCCTCCTCCGTAGGTGATTGTAGACTGCGTGTTAGTGCAAGAATTTTTGGTGGGCGTAGGACGCATCAATTTCTCGCTTCCCCATCCTGATTTGCCGTTGATGGCAGATAAGATTGAGGAGATGGGAGCAAATGGTTGGAGTCTTGGCAGTGATGCCTCGACATAGGCATAGAGATTGTGAGAGAAGTAACGAAAACTGATGAGTCGGGGTCTTCTTCTCAAATGGTGTAAGGACCCATACATCATACACCTAAGGATATACATCTCGAGGACATATCCGGTGAAAACGAGCTAAGTGTTAGAAACTCGTGAAAATAGTACCTAAAAGTTTCATAAATTCATAAAAAAAATACTAGAGATAGGTTTAGATATGAAATACATTCTCACTGAATGTCAACTCCAAACTCAACTTCGTTTAAGAGAAATAAAAAAGACAAATTTCGGGTGAATAGTGCCTTGTTACTATTCACCTAAAATTTGTTTTTTTTACTCCTAAATTAAGTTGAGTTTGAACTTGAGATTTGGTGAGAATGTATTTTATATTTACACCTATCTCTAATGTAATTTACGAAACTTTTAGGTATGATTTTCACGAGTTTCCAACACTTAACTCGTTTTCACTAGATATGTTTCCATACATCTCACAGTGCGCCATCAGAAATGGTGCGCCTGGGCTTGGGGCTAGGCTCAAGTCACTTGATCTACAATGCAAGTGACCTTACAAGTAGCTTATAGTGGGACCCACCATAACATTTTTTCCTTTTCACTTTCCCTCCCCTCTCTCTCCCAAGCATCCCAAGCAGCGGCAGGGCAGCCAGGCGAAGAGGTGGCCGGGCAGAGCGGTGGCGAGCCAAGCGGCGGGGTGACGGTGCCGAGCCAAGCGGCGGCGGCGAGGCGACGGTGCCGAGCGGCCCAAGCGGCGGCGGGGCAGCCGGGCGGAGCAGCGGCGAGCCAAGCGGCGACGGCGCCGGGCGTCGAGCGGCGTTGCAGCGGGGCGGTGGCAGGGCGGAGCGGTGGCGGGACGGCCAGATCTGGCCGGATTTGGCCTTGGGCAGCGACGGCGACGGGCGGCGCGAGGATGACAAGCTCGACGGCACGCGGACGACAAGCTCGATGGTGGCGGGGACAACGGCGCCATCTCTCCTCCAACCGGCGGGGGACGGCACGGCAGGAGATTCTCGACGCGCGAAAGGGGGCGGCTGTGGCCGGCGTCGGGCTCAAGATCCCCTCCTCGCCATCGGCCTCAAGCTTTGGATGTGCCGAGCTTTCTTTCCTCCCTCTCTCTCTTCCCTGGCGACCTGACAAAGCTGCCAATTTTTTTTGCTAAAGAACATATATGTCACTTTGGTTACTTGGTCTTGGGTTGGTCACGGGAAATACTGATGTGGCTGAGAATCTCCTACGTGTTAGCCCGAGGTTAAATGACATGTAAGCCCACTGTGAATGGCCTTAGCTAAATGCTGAATCCGTCACTGACGATGTTCGTGGCGTCAGCAACTTGCGGAACGTCAATCTCCGTGGGCTGCAACCTCCACTCCTCCAGGGCTGCAGCGTGAACCTACAAACTCGCACATGACATGTATGTTCATTTTTATCCAATAATTAGACACTACAGTATGCTCTATAATTTACGGTTTTTGATGTCACAGTATCTATAATTTGTTTAATGCAGCCTGATTAGTTCTAAAAATGGAATTTGACAATGTTGTGTGCATTTGTTTTACTTGACAAGTCTGATCAAACAAAATTTTCTTGTACTACGTCGTGGTTGTAACAGTTCAGATAGGACATGATGTTCAGCTGTTGGGATCAGGGGCGGAGCTACAGTAATAGAGCCGGTGTCAGGCGACACCGACGACTTTCGGTAAAACCTATAGCAAAACTGCTTATCCATATGTTATTACACTATAATCTAAATATAATTAGTATACTATGACACCGATAGACACGTTATGACACCAACGAATCGATTTTCTAGATTCGCCACTGGTTGGGATGTTTATGGCCCTCGGTTACCAGAGAAGCTTAACTGAGGAAAAGAACACTATTTAGTAATAATATAACGATAAGAACTGATCGTAGGTGCTCATGCCACCTGAAAAGCGTAAACAAATTAACTTGGCTGAAAAATGAACATATGCAAAACAACTCATGAGAATATTGAGATCTGATGAATCAAGAAACATATGCAAAAACAAACAACTGATAAGCCTCACGCCGTTACGCACTGTGCTGCACTGCGCTGCTCTGCCATTTCGGTTGTACGGCGGTCGGATGGATGAGCTGTATAGCAGGGTTGTTTATACCATTAGCAAAAAACACGACTTATACAAATTGAAGAAGCCATGTAGGCTTCCGGATCAAGAAGCATTAGGCCCCTTGACTTGAAGGATTCTAATCGTGTGGATTTTTTCCTATATGGCCCTTTGAAACAAATAATTAAAAGCTATTGATCCTATAAAATTCCTAAGAAATATCTTAATCTATACAAGTTTTGGATGACTTTGAACATGATGTCCAAACTTATAAAAAGTTTTCTATGAGTCTATCTATTTCATCTAATTCTTTTTTCATGTGGTTTAATCAAACGATCATTCCTGTATTTTTTCCGCGTTTTTAAAATTTTATATTTTTTCTATTTCTTCATTTTCTCAATAGGAGTTAGGCAAGTTTAAATAGAAAATACATACGTGTTGACGCGAAAAACACATACTGGCCTAGGAGATTTGCTTAACTCCAGTGCAGGTCCAAAGGTTGATGAGATACAGACGTGCCAGTCAGTTTGACCCTGCAACTAACAAGATATACAAATAGTAGATCAATAAGCCGATCGGCTGACAAGTAGATGAAGTAGTTCCAGCCGATGCCGATACCAGCTGATAGCAATAGGGTTTGAAGCTATCGGGTGTCCAATGTAGACAATGATATAAAGACAATCGACTGATGATAATCAATATAATTAAACAATATAATCCAGTAGAAACCAATTGGCTAGCAATGATATGATAGAATAAGCAATGATCCGAACATAGAAGCATACATCGGCTGGAGGTCCGATGTGATAAAATCCATAAGATTAGATTACACGGTGAAACCTTTGTTGTCATCGGCTAAATCCAACTTGTATGAAATCCTCGTAAGCCGATGCAATGTCTAGATACTTCATCAGCTGAAACCCCAATGAAACCCTTATTAGCAGTCAAGAAGCAGGCTAGAGATTATAGTTCTAAGCACGACTTAGTAAATCAAACTTAACTGATGCAGAACTATGTATGAAATGAAACATAACATCTTAACATCTAGACAATCAAGCCGTTGACTGATTTTTCAGGGTGGTAGATGTATAAGCTAATCTAATCTAGCAACACGATTTAGCCGATACCGACAGAAACCCTAAAACGAGAAGCAGCCGATAGAGCTAAATTGATATGCTAAGACTAGATTAATAGAGACATATGATAAATAGGCAGACAAATATATCACCCAAACCAGAGCAATCCAAGAGGTCGAATGTACTGATGCAGCCTTGAACGACGCCGATGCAGACGAGATAATTGCCCAGGTTGGCGGAACGTAGGACTTACCCCTTC